GTTTTTTAGCATTTGTTAAAAGTGTAATTATTTTGTAAAATACCTTTAAAATTAAAATAAGACATTAAACCTGTTTGCCACCTGGCGGTTCCAAGTTATCCCGTCTATGGGGTAAAAATATCTAGATAACAAATTTTTGAAAGACATAAAAAACTACAATGATGAAGTTGGCAGTTTTACTGAACGTAGTCAGATAATTGTACGTTTGAAATGTGTTATTTGTTGTGATATAATTGGTTTGGTTTTCATAATATAGTTTATATTTGCTCAAAGTCAAATTGGACCTTAGTGTCTCACCCTGCTCTACATATATACTTTTTATTAAATTTTTACTTTAATTTATCGAATATTACTCGAAACTTTTCAAAAAGCAAGTCAAAGAAGAAATACTTAATTCATTTTCTCTCTCTCCTCGCAGAAATTTGAAAATTTTGTATAAGCTCAGTAGTATTATTTACAATTATACACAATATTCAAAATCCAAAAAGAATCTGAAAAACTTGAAACGTAATCAATAAGTCGAAAGACCCAAAAAGACTTGGATTATACCATGTTATCTATATAAAGTGTATAAAACTTCCAGTTTGATTGTAGTGACAAAATATAGACAAACTAATGGGGTTTATAATACCTCATTGTATATAGCAATAGCAATCAAACAACGCATCCTTATACACTTAAAGTGTTAATATTTTTGATTCTCTAGAAATTGTTTAGAATAAACCTTACTTAGCAAAACACGTTTGCCGGGTCAGTTAGTAATCAATAAATATATCTTATTCAATTAGAACTTTGTGACAAATTATTAGTGTAATAAGAACTTGCAACAGATACATAAATTATACCAACAAATCAGACTTTCATATAGTCTATAGTTACAAAGGTTAAATTATAACCTAACAGCCTGAGTTAATTGAAGGAGAGATTTACATTTTGAATCAACTATCCGAACCCAGCGTTTTAGCCTCCAAATCCAGAAGGTTCTCTAAGCTTATCAAATCAGCAAATAATTCCGAAAAATATAATCATTTCCGCAAAATATCACTTCCCAATTTTTTTCATCAATCCATTTTTTAATTTCTGCATCCAGTCTCCACAGTCCATTGACTTTGCTCATAAAAATCGTTTTAGATTTAAATCCGTTTCAAATATGAATGACAAATGTACGTCAATCGCCTACGAAGCGTGTCTTGTTTAACAATTATTTGTCATTCGCAAATTCAATGCCGACCAAATGATATAATTAAATTAATATGAAACAATTCCTTTCACGTACAAAAATAAACATTAATTGTTGACGTTTGGTATAGCGAAAAATATTAATTACGACACATGACAATGAAGTACTTTATAAGAAGTTTGCATTCGGAGTACGTGCCGAAACCTGATTTTTTTGCGTCATTGGGAAGAGGATTTTCATTGATGAAATGTGGCCCGCATATTGGATAAACAGAAGTCTAAGGGGCTACGTGATTAAGGAAAAAAATATAAGTAAGGTAAATGTACCACGGTAAGGTAAGGTTGATTAAGGCGCACCCTTTAAGGGGCCGCCTATTAATCACGTGATCGATTTATAAAGATTTTTGGACACCCACTTACTAATATTTAAAATTAGCCTCCTACCCATTAAAGCCACAGGTGATTAATCAACACTCCCTAAAAAATTATGCTCTTTTTTAATGTGCATTTAAAAGAAAATCTTTGGTATGTATTCATTCTGCAATTAGCGAGTGGAAAGGATAAGATAAAAGAGTAAAATAGAAGGACTGAAAGGATTGGGAACAAGAAGAATGCAGATGACGACATATGCAAGAAGAGGAAATACAGGAAATTGAAAGCCGAAGCACCAGGACAATCTACAACATTTTCATGCAATTTACGATATTTTGGGACAAAATGCAACATTTTCAGACATTTCAGTCAATTTGCAACATTCTCTGACAATTTGCAACATTTTGAGACAATATGCAACATTCTCAGACAATTTGCAACATTTTGAGACAATCTGCAACATTTTCTGGCAGTTTGCAACACTTTCATGCAATTTGCAACATTTTGAGACAACCTACAATATTTTCTGGCGATTTGCAACATTTTTAAGCAATTTGCAACATTTTAGAACGATCTACTACATTTTCTGGCTATTTGCAACATTTTTAGGCAATTTACAACATTTACTTGCAATATTTTCAGACAATTTGCAACATTTTCTGATGATTTGCACCATTTTCTGATAATTTGCAACCGGTTTTCAGACCAATTAGAATATTTTCAAGGTTTGTAGAACATCTTCAGACTGTACAGATTGTTTTTAAACTAACTAGAATATTTTCAGGCTGTGTAGAACGTTTTCAAACTATCAAACTTCATACAATGCAGAATATTTCAACATTAAGCAGAACACTTTCCTACTTCCAAGTTATCCAGAATATTTTCTGAATATACAGTACATTTTCAGACTATCTTGAACAATTTCAGATTATCTGCAAAGTTTCTCATACAAACTAGAACACAGCTGTGTTCTAATCTAGATTATTTAAAATATTTGCAGACAATCTAGAACAATTTCAAATTATCTGCAGTAGACATCCAGATTATCCACAATATTCCCAAAATCTCTATAACAATTTCAGATCATCTGCAACATTTTCAGACTATCTGGAAAGTTTCAACAACATTTTCATAGAGTCTAAAATATATTAGGAATATTTATACAATTTTCAGAATATCTAAAAGACAAAGACTCTTCAAGAACATTTTCACATCATATGCAATGTTTTGAGACTATCTGCAAATTATTCAAAGTATCAAAAACATTAGATTTCAGACTATCTGCAACATATTCAGAGTATCTATAACATTTTCGGAATATTAAGAAATGTTTTAAAATATCTTGTACGTTTTTAGAATATCAAGAACATTTTTAGACTAACTAGAAATTATTTGCAGACTATCCAGAATATTTCCAGACTCTTTTGTACCTTTTTCAGATTATACAGGACATTTTCAAGCTATTCAGAATATTTGCAAATTATGTAGGTTATACTATCCAGAATATTTCCAGACACTCCAGAACATTTTCAGATTATCTGCCACATTTTGAGACTATCTGCAAAGTTTACAGGCAATCTAGATAATTTCCAGAATATGTAGAACATTTTCAAAAAATATTTGGAACGTTTTCAGAAAATGTTTGCTTGTTCAGTTTCATACACCAACCTTGATTGAAGTTGCATAAGAAGTTTCACTTCAATAAATTAGCATCCATTTAGATAACCAATTTAAATGAAAAAAAAAACGCAAAATATATCAGATATTTAAATCAACCTATTACCATTCGAATTAAAATTATATTTTTAATAAAAGACAAAACATTTCAAGTCAACTTTTCGTTAATTACGATCACAGCCTCAAATTTGTGAACATAATTACGACAAACATGAAATTGTCAGTTTTTAGAAAAATATATTTGATAAAAACTGAGTTTTGCGATGAATTGTTTTTGCTTATTATTACTAATCAATAATATCACAAATATAAATTGAATAAACTTACCGGTATCATATGAAATCCTGTAACTGTCATCTTAGGTTAGTCAACAGCAAGCTCACAAACCGTGCTATTTTTATTGTAATAAAACCACATTGTTGGTATAATATTGTATAATATAAAATCATGATTTACTTACCTTTTATCTTTATCTTTCGGCGAAAATAAAAATACCATGGCACAACGTACAAACCCGCCATTTTCTATGCTCCTTGTTTTACAAACCACTTGTTGCTAATTAATGGCTTATAATTTAAAATATAATTGTCTAATTTTATTCCATTTACCACAATTCACTTTTATTTTTTTAAAACAAGCACCTTTATATATTAATTATCATATTGTGCAAACGTATACTTTTATAAAAGTTTTTAACTATAAAAATAGCTGTTTTAGCAATGTGTTACAATGACAGCTTCAAAGAAGTGAAGTTAGCTGCAAACCGACAACCACAAATCAGAACAATGTCGCGAAAAAACAAAATGTCAAAATAAATTAAGAAAAGTACTTTAATTTGTGCAAAATCAGTAATTAAAATTAAAATAAAAAAGTTAAAGTGATTAAAATTAATATATTGGTGTGTTTTATTACAAACATTTATGGAATTTATGGAAATACTCCAGGTACATTAGGTATAAGATTTTAGCAATAATACTATAACCAAATATGATACGATTGATATGGGGTTAAGTATTGGAAATTATACTTTTTAATAATCTAATATTAAATGCTTCAAATTAAGTTTAAACTTTTTACACTATACTTTTATATCTTTGCACTATAGTATTCTCTAATATTATTATTCTTCAAAAAAAACTTCAATCAATACTTGAACTTTGACATTGATTTTGGCATTCATTGCTCTACTAAAATAATGTTATTGATTAAAATGATTAAACCTTAAATCGTATATTACAATTTGTTACACATTCATATAATTCTTTAATTCATTATGATTATATTATTATAACTGTTCAATTTTATCACTATATACAGTGTACTTTTCAATGCTTTTAATAATATTATTGACTAATTGTCTCTAATTTTGCTCAGCTTTTATAATGAAAAATATTGCATTTTATGAAATTTGTATAAGCAAATTTCCCCAGAATCTGGCTATTAAAAATAATTATCCTTACAAAGTTAGTAAATTTGAATTTCAAATCTCCCGCCAGTTATGTTACTACTGCCGCCATCTTGTAGACAACTAGTTAATGGACGAAAGTTGCTTTGGTTTATAACATGTTATCTACTAAAATCGTTGATATTATTGTTATCCAGTTTATTTCAAAAAACAATAGAATGTTAATTAGTAGTGTGAGTTTATTATTTTGATAATTAAATAATTTTGATTTCAATATCACATGTATTGCCATCTTTTGTGAATTTTCTAGGTGCGTAACGTCCATCGTATTGTTTTGACATTTCCCATCAACGTGTTCTATTTTTAAACATTTTCTTAAGGTTAAGTTTAGATTTCGATTCCCCAGTGTCATGTTACAGTGCCGGAAAATAAGACGTGTTTTAACCTATAGTTTAGTTTGTTAAATAATTCAAAGTCAAAAATGGGGAAGAAAAAATCCCATCAGACCCGGAATTGTGCAACCGGCGATCACAGACATTTGCCTAAACATAAACGCCAAGAATTAAACAATTTGGTAGAGAAGTTATTGAAAGTCACCAGTATTAATCCTGATGGTCCAGGTATTGGTAAATTATGGGACCTCCATGCTGAATCACAAGTTATTATTGATCGTATCCAGCAAATTGAAAGCGAGGTTAAGAGCCCTATACACTTACAAAATCGTAACGCTTCTTTAGACACGTTTTTATCATGGTTGAAACAAAATGATGCTAAATTCGAGAGCATTAAAATTTCCCATTTTCCCGACTATGACTTAGGCTTAGAGGCTACTACACCTATCACTAAATCTTCTGTCATCTTAGAAGTACCTCAAAAACTTATGTACACGAGTCAATGTTGTGATGTAGCAGACTCCAAAAAGCTCTTCGATACTGATAAAATGTTAACTAACATGCCAAATGTAGCTTTAGCTTTTGCATTAGTCGTGGAAAGATTGAATAAAGACTCGTTTTGGAAACCGTATTTAGATGTTTTGCCTAAAGACTATTCTACAGTTTTGTATTATAAATCTAATGAATTGCAAGAGTTGAGAGGGTCTCCGAGTCTGGAGATGGCTTTGAAACAGTGCAGGAGCATTCGGAGGCAGTATGCATATTTTTATAAGATGCTGTGGACTTCATCTTTTGCTCTATTTGAGAAGATTAAGGAAAAATGGACTTATGACCTGTATTGGTAAGTGGATAAGTTAATTATAATGTATATATATATATATATATATATATATATATATATATATTTGAAGTATTTTGCAGCTCAATCATAAAATTAAAAGAAGGTAAATAAGACAAATTCTTGATTAATTAAACGTTTCAACACTTAATGCGTCATCATTCTGTGATCAAACCAGAAAAAACACAAGAACATAAAATTTATTAAAAACCCAAAAATTGTACTATAAAACAACATAATTAATATATAATTAATAAGCGAGCAACATAATGACCCAATTTGAAGAATGTTCATTCAATTTTATGTATTTGTATTTTTCCTGGTTTGATTACTGAATGATGACACACATTAAGTGTTGAAACGTTTAATTAATAAAGAATTTGTCTTATTAACCTTCTTTTAATTCGATGATTGGGCTGCATAATGCTTTAAATATGTATCAACGTCGACACAACTATCATCACATATATATATATATATATATATATATATATATATATATATAATATCCTGCTTCTCTGAAATAATATGATTAAAAAATAATAATTTCAAAATATCATTGTCAATGGTAAATTTGAATTTCTAGTCTTCAAGTATATAATATTTTTTATTACTCGTAATAGTACACAATATATTCTTATATTTTATCCTAACGATACATAAAATCTTTCAAACAAACTTAAAATTCTGCATACACATAATAATAAATAACTAATAATTTCATCTTCGTGTTAGTGATAGTTAAAACATAAATTAAAAGTCTTATAAAAATATATACATACATAAATTATATACATTGATACTAATGTGCTTTTACTGCATCAAAATCAGTGAAAGGTTTTTTTAAAGTGATTCCATAAATATTCTTGAATATTCCTTCGAGACCTGGTATTGAGTGTGTGTAACTTACCATTTTTGGATCTTGATTTCATAACTACAGGGTTTTCTTTTGGAGTACCCAGATCATGCTGGAGAATAGGTGTACGCCCTTTGCAAAAAAGTAGTCTATTGTTGTATCGCATTTTGTTTTTGCTTTTTTGACGCCATCTGCAAGCAATAAAAATGCATAGGAAGACTAAGATTGATAAACCACCTATAACCGAGCTGGCTATTATTGCAGATCGGACTCCTAAGGCTTCGACGTAGCTAAAATGACCATCTGAAATGTCTATGGTTTTGTATTCACTTTCACTAGACAAATCGACGTGTAGGATTTCATTATTGGTATCGGAGTTGCCTGTGTGTTCCATCAGGACATCCATGAGTCCCTGAGTGCTTTCTTTCACCTCCGGTTCACTACTTGGTGTAACTGGTTGGGACCTCGAGTTCTTTTTTGTAGCTCTGGAAGGTAAGGCTGTAGCGATGTTATCAAAATCACTCATGGACCTACTTTTTTTGATAAAATCTGGTGGAGGTTTTACACGACTCATAAAACCAAGTACTGACAAATCAGAACTTTCAGCTAACGAGTCACTTTCAGCTGATAAACGCACTCCACGCATATGGGATAAGTCGAAATTTGGAAAGTTTTCAAACATAGCAACTTCACGTTCAACACTTGCTAAATCTCTAGGACGTCTAGTAGTGGTTGTATACATTCTTAGGTTAGCCAAACGGTTTTCTTCCTCGGTAAGTCTTTTATCAACTTCTGCCAAGTGCAGTTGACTCGAACCACGTTCCCTGTGGTCCAACAACTCCTCCAAAGTCATATTTCTTTCTTCCAAAACCCGACGCAATCTATTGCCTCCTCGTCCATTCAAAACTTCCAGCAAGTGCCCTCTATCGAATTCCCTGGTGTATGCTGTATCATAATCATTGCTATCGAGTCTTAAAGAATTATCAGTATGTACTATAATAGATTCTTGTAAAACTGTTTTGTCAGTACTTGTCACAACTGGTTCTTTGTAAGTTGTTCCTTCGGGTTCATAATCTATAGACATTGGTGATGTGGAGTGTCTCCATGTAGTACGTTCATATTTCGTGGTAGGTTCCTCCTTGTCGTCAACTGTGGTAGGAACTTCTGAACCATCTTCAAAACTTATGGACGAAGTTTGCTCGCTGTTGAGGAGTTCAGTACTTGATGCAAAAAATTCACTGGATGTACCCTGGACTTCCACATATGGATCTTGAGTAACAAAAATACTTGCTCTGGTGGTTTCTTCAACCTCATTTTTGTAGTCATCAGGAAGAGTTGTTGCAACAGTACTTTCTTTAACACTCCCAACCTCATAACTTCTTGTATAATGTACACTCGTGGACTGATTCATATGCCAACCTATTATCTCATCAGGTCTTGGTGTTTCTGCATGCACCACCACAACTTTTTCACTACTATCTTCAAATCTTACCATTTTCGGAGCATCATCCACAAACACAACTGTATTTCCTTTACCTTTTGGAGGTGAAGTTGGAAAAACAACAATTGTCGTCGACGGTTCAGCAATTTTATACTTGACTTCTTTTTCTTGATCATCTCTGCCAAATACAAACTTGATGCTTTCGTTTTCTATGGGCTTGAATGATGAACTGGTTCCACTGATGAAAGTGAATCTGGTAGGCGCGTTTGATGGAATGTCGAACTTATTTTTTGTGTCTTCGGGATTTTCAAGTTTCGATCGCCAAATTGGAATTTGAGTTGGTTTTTGTTCTTCGTTTCGAAAAGGCGGCTGGAGTTCGGTACTGACTTCGTTTTGGTTTCCTGGTGGTATACGTTGGCCATATGCTAAAAGAGACATAAATCTATTTAATTTAATTTGTGATATGTAGTAATTCGCCAGAAAATTATAATAATCAGATAAAATATTATTTCTAGGTATCTTAGAATTATTCTACGATAAAGCAATTTTACAGGGTTTTTCATTATTAACTTCCCATAGGGTAAGTTATAGTAATCCGAACATTTTGGCATACCTTAGAAAAAATGTATTTGTGTATGTGTGTGTGTGTGTGTGTGTGTGTGTGAGTGAGTGCGGATACAAATATTTGTCGACTTTCGAATCGGATCAACCGATTTGAATAATTCAAAAAACATTCGATTCCTATTGATAGGATGATGTGCTGATTCGTTTTTACCAAAGGTAGGTCCAGCCGTTTCAGAGGCACGGGGCAAAAAGTGCCAAAAATGGTATTTCAATTTTTGAGAGAACGGAGCGTTCGATTTGAACGATTCAAAAAACATTTCACTTGAATTGACGAAATGAACATCTGGTAAAATTTTTGTAAAGGCAGGTCCAGCGTCTCTGGAGATCCAATAAAAAAGTGAAAAAAATGCCATTTGGCGGTCAAAAATGAACATTAGATATATGTACATCGTACTATTTTATAAAGATTATAATAATAAGTACAAATTTTGTGTACATTTATATGGGTTTCGTATCAATGTTCACACGTTAGACGACGCAGCGCTTACGCGCTTTAATATTTCGACTCCAAATCAACTTTGCAACGCGATTGCTTAAAAAATGTTTAAAATTTTCAAAATAAATCAAAATACAAAAAAATCTAAATATAAAAAAATCTAGTTTTCCAAAAAGGTCGATTTTTCTCAAAAATTTTAAAATTTCTCAAAAACCAAAATTTTTCAAAGATTTGCAAGTTTTTTTTTCATTATTTGGTTTTCAGTACGGGAAGTTCCAGCAATTTTCCTTAAAGCACGATGCCATATACCACTAGTTTAAACAATTTTTGAAAAGAGATTTTTCAAAATACTGCTGATTCAATCAAAATTTTGGAAAGCAAAATATTTAGAAAGTAGATACTGATTAGAAAATAATTATGGCACTTCATAATGTTATTTGGGGGATTTTAAGGAATTGTTGACAAATTGCTTCAGAATGCTGTTTTTTATATTGTAGATACTTTTGAGTTATATTTGTAACATTCTAGTTAAATATTAGTAAGTTATTTGATTAGATTTTTTTATTGGGCAATAATTTATTTGTTCGAGTCAAATTTTTGGTGTAAACATCAAGGCACTAAAATTATAAAATCATCTGACCAATAATTAACCAATGGACTATTTTGAGCCGATTCTGTCTCACAATAGACTAATGCTATGGCAAGGCCATGTTATGCTCCAACTTCCATATCATGCCACTGAATCATACTGAATACTGTCAAAATGTCATGTATTTGCTGTGCATTCAGGTGTTTTACACATACACTGCAACGTCACTCGTATGTTCTGAAGCTGAGTCAGAAAGATCCTGTTATCTAAGATTGTTTTTTGATATTTCTGCGGTTTCTGGGTTAGGTTTTCTATCTGACAACCTGACAAAAACGCCTGACTGCACAGCAACCACATGGCTTTTGTCATTATTTAGTATAGAAAGTTCTTCATAACATGGACTTGCCATAACATTGACCTGTTGTGCTGGAGAATCGGTCCATCTATGCATTTATGATTAATGCAGGATAAACTTTCATACCTCGTATGGTCCTGGCTGTTTTTTTCTATTTCTGTTTCTATTTTTAAAATTTTACCAATTAGTTACCTGAGTTGGTCTTAATTGATACTGCGCTGGGTTCAACCAAGGCCGACAAGGCCCTACGTTTTCCTTTGATCAGGTCAGACAAAGTTAAATTCCTCTGTTGTAAAATTTCACTTAAACTTAAACCTGATGCTTGCTGCTTCAATATAGACTTCAAATCTACTGCTCCAGTATCACCAAAGCTATTGTTTTCCTAAATATATAAATAAAAATAGTTAAAAGAATCCAGGAATATACGATTTTTCATATGAATCTAATTGAAGACCCTCGAGTCGTTTTATTTGATTAGTTGCTATATTTTCTTATATACAAAATTTACTTCGTTTTTATAATTTTTAAATAGCTATCAGAATGCTATAGCATTCATTTTCATTGTGATGCAGAATGACATGAATGCTATAGCATCCACATTTTAATAACTATGATTTTGAAATTAATTTTATATAACTTCACATTTTTATTATACCTGTCAAGGTAATGGCTAACTGAATCTTTAATTATTTTATTATTATC